CGCACCCATCGCGGCTCGGGGGTGTGAACTTCTGACTGGTGTGTGAAGGCAGTGTTGGCCTTCCCTAGGCGGAGCTTATACCATCTCACGGCAGAGGGGTAGTGTTGGCTGGTTATTTTGTTTTTGAGGGAAGTTCGTTTATACTTTGGCTCTTTAAAAGTTTCAGGTTCAGTTTCAGCTTTGGTTGTTGCTTCTTCACTGCTGAAACAAATTCAGGACTCCATAAAAATACAGTTGCTCACAGTCCTGATGAAAGTGTGAGTGTCATGCTCTTCTACAGCATGATGCAAAGTTATGTGCCTGCATGCGAAGTTGTCTGAAAAATATAATGTGGGTGCTCACTATATAGTGTGTTGTGTAAATAGTATAACTTCCCTGTTCGTTTAAAGTGCAGCTATTAAACTGGAAGAAAAAAAAAATAATTCACTGATAATACCATTATGGAACAATGGCAGGCAAGGCTAGTCTGAGAACTTTCTGCTTTATGTAGATGTCCTCGCTATTTAAATCACCACCAATTTCATGTTAGTGATTTGGTTTCAGTTATTTTAAGCCAATCCAAAGAATTGGAAAGCTCACTTGACATTAAGAGTGGAACAGGTGAATTGCCTCTGAAGAAATGAATGGGTTTTCAGTAACTCTAAATCTTATTGCATCTGCATTGGGCGTGATTTTCTGTAGTATTGATTTCTGAGCATCTTTAAGGTGCACTTCTACAGATCTCTTTTGGCTGTTTTCACTACAGCTGTTACATTTTTGTTACATGTACTAATATTTGTATCATATTTGTTTATGTGAGTGTTAAATCCTAACAGTAAAAAAACAGGTTATAAATACAACTGGCTTTTAATAAAGTTAGGTATCTTTAAATATAATTGCCATGGTAAATAAGGATGTCCAAACCTAGTGGTTTTAAATTGCTTATTTCATCAGAAGCTTATTGCTCTTTTGTGCAGTGAGTTCATTTTTTTTCTGTCTTGTGTCAAGTTTTCAGTTCATTGCTTGTCTAGTAACTATAATAGTGTTCCATGGACTTCTGTCTTTGCAGTTTATTGATTATCTGTGCCTGCCTAATGAACTTGCATGACTAGCTGTAGTTTTTGATGGGCAGTTGTCTTTTAAAGCAGTACCTGGTTATAGTCTAATGATATTTTTTTAAAATGTTTTGAAGAACTTGTTCACAATTTTGACACTTTTTGGCCTAGAACAATGGTTTGAACACTTTATTGTATACATTTATCATTTCACTGGAGTTTTGGACCTCTTGGATGCATGTACTGCCTTTAAGGATCTGTGTGTATGAATCTGTATATATGTTTATACGTCTTAAAAAATGAGGAAAGCAAATTCTACTGTCAGTAGGTTTACCTTTCTTATACTGGCATCTGCATCTCCAGTGAGAGGTATTTGGGGGAGAGTGGGGG